AGCCTACTTATTGCCCTAGAAAATGCTGTGCATTTTAAAAAATAAGGTCAAATCTTGGCTACAAATATGCTCCAGATTTCTCATATGGGTATATTTGTTTCTAGAAGTAACAAACCATGACTAAATAAAAGGGTGACCCTTGCATGCTTGTTTTCCTCACTCTGCCAAGTGGGGCAGCAGTTTAAAATGTGAGCTTCACATTAGGCTTGGGTGGTATGAAGGTATTTTGTTATACCACAGTAATAAAATATGGTGAGTCATGTGAGGTGAAGCACCAAATTTCTACAAGGCTGCTTTGAGGAACTGGGACATAAACATTTGAGACTCTTTCAGAAGACGCCCTGTAACGTTACTGAACCGTGTTCTGACCACCTCAGTTCATTTAAATGACAAATGGGGGACCTCAAACCAGGGTAAAAATAAAAGAACCTCAGAGCGAGGTTAGTGGGAGACACGTTTCTGGCCGGCTCCTGAAAAGATGGGTCAGCTGATGCTGACTGACAGCTTCAGGGACCACCCAAAAGACCAGTTTTTCTTGTCATATTTTACTTTCTTGGCACTTATGTGTTCCATTTAACGTAAAGGAAAACCCGAGTGTTTTTAAATGTCATTATTGAAATAAAACTGATCATTCAGCTTTATTTCTAAAAGATACTGCCATGTATCTATATACAATTTCAGTAATTTATTAATTTATTTATTTGCTTTAGATTTTTTTCCAGTAATTTCTTGCAATGTGGACCAGTTCAGTCCTGTAGTGTAAACATGTCAAAATAATAATTAAGTAAAACAAGTGGGTACTACACAGTAAGGTTTTAAACAAAGCATCAGAACAAGCAGATTATTTTAAAGGGGACATATAATGCAAAATCCACATTTTTAGCTGTTAAAAACCAGCAACAGAAACATGTTTTTTGTGTGTGCCCCCTTTAATAGATGTTAAGTGATTCTATAAATACCATCTGTTATGCCATGTAAGTAGCCAGAATGACAAAATTGCAAAGATGGAAAGTTTTGACCACCATTTACATCAATATCATAAAAAATTAGGCCAAATCAACTTTTTTATTGTTAGGAGCTGTGTTTTCATTGGGACACAGTTTGGTGTGTGCCTTTTTAAACCATTTGTCCTGGTTGTTTCAGTGATTTTTATGATCAATAACTTTTCTCTCAATTCTTTTAAATAAATGCACCACAATTTGCAATTCTAATCTTCCCACTAAACTGTTTTTTGCTCTTTTCTTTGTGGCTTTGTTGTGAATATTGCTTAGTGTATTGATTTCCAGCTGGGCACCAGAATATGTTGAGCTCTGTGCAATACAGCAACATATTTTATTTATTAAGCATCAGCAGTTGGCTTATGCATGGACATGTGTTAAAATACTCATATTTATGTGCTTTTTGTTTGTAAAAAAAGATTTTTATGTTTTTAATACCATAAAATAGGCCGATGGAATAATGGATCAGTTAAACTAAACTCTGCTGACCCAGTTTCCTTCAGATATGCATGACACACAGGCTTGTTTTAAATCAATAAACTTACTTGGTTAGTTTACACAGGCAGCACTGCATAATCAGTATTCCTGGAATGAAATTTACTTTTTGTAACAATTTTTTTTCTTGTTTCTCTTGTGATTTTAAAAATTGTTCAAATGAGTGTGATATTATCATGTCACGATCTCCAGCGTTTACTGGAGCTGTTCACAGCCAAGTGTGAAGCAATTGGGATGAGAGTCAGTGCCTATAAATCTAAGGGTCCTCAGTCGGAAAAGGGTGGCTCTTAGTTCCTGTGGGTGGCCCCCTGGCCGGGGTGGCTGCCGGGTTCCGGGGTGTGGA